TGGACGACTTAGTTTAAAGTCGTCTGGGCAGACGACTTGCGAGGGCTAAAAACGTCAAAAAAAAACTCTTTTTTTGTTTGTTCACAAGGGGTTGGTTGTAATTTCAACAGCCTTTTAAGTTACTTTTGCATTTGATTCAAGTTTGGGTTTACTTTTGCATTTCAAATCAAGTTTTGAGTCATATTTGGCAATTTTCCCACTTTAGTATTTTGTATTACAAACTATGTATGTGATTCTCCAAATTATAACCGTATGAAATTGACTTTCTCTGCACAGGGAAAGTCATTGGAGTATGGACAAAAGGTGGTGCTATGTCTCTTGCTCCAAGTGTACAAAGAAGCTTCAGCAAAATAATGATGTGTCTGTCTTTCCAGGATGGCAATAATGATCATGGAGACGATATGCATGGGATCGTTTCAGAGCCTACTAAGTTGAACATTGATGATAACAATCATAAAGAGGCATTGACTATAGGAACCTCTTTAGGTGGTATCCACAACAACAAGACTCACGCAACAATATCTTCCAAGGTTGTTAAGAAGGCACAATCACATAGCCTAAGACATTGAAGTTTTTGGACCCTATATTTGCTATTTTAAATAATGCTTTTGCATCAATGTTTTTTTTGAAGAATACATTTGGGATACAATCCTGTTTTTCTAAATTTCAAACTATCTAATAAAAATGTTCAAGTCTAACGTTTGTAAGAGTGGTTTAAGTTTATGCAAGCCAATTAAGGTCTTGCTTCAGTTCAAACGTTTAAGATGTAAAATAGAAAAAGGGTTAGATAATAGTTATAAAGAAAAAATCTCTGTATCTTTTGATTCTTTTTTTTTGTAAACTTAACCGGCATGGATAACGGCTATGATTTCATAATAAGAAAATACTGAGTCCTTAAACATATGCAAAGAAAGACAAGCTGTTCCATGAAATATTATATATGACCTAGAGAATACAAACACAAGAATATATATATGCACTACTGAAACATTCACGCTGGTCATCTTGCTTCCACTTTCACAAAATTCAGCTTATTATGGGTAGGAAGTTAGCTGAAACATAACAAATGATATTAATTCACTCTCCGACAATACTCTTATAAGCACTTCTTCTAACACAAGAAAACATGGAAAGGCATATCATATCAAGCTCTTCGTTGCCACATAATTAGTTTAGTTACAACTATAATTTTTTTCATCTCTGCTATATCACATATAATCCCTCCTTACCCAAACTTTCTTAAAAGAAAGAATTATTATTATTTATTACACATATCTCTCCAAAATCCAAAATTAAAACATAAACAACTAAAATATATAAAAAATAAGGACAAGGCAAGCTCAAACCCTAAGGACAAGGCAAGCTCTTCACACGCTGATAACCCTCCCATTCAGTTAATTCCGGCGACCAAAAAGAGAAACCCGGATTTTCGGGCCTCTCCACACCCGGGTCCTTAGTAGTTGCAAGCTGGAAATGTTGTGGTTTGGGGAACCCCACAACAGTCCAGCGTCTAAAGGAGATTCACAAGAAGAATGCTCCTGATGTTATCTTCCTCTGCGAAACGAAATATCCCACAGAAATGATTAGGAACGAACTTCAATGGTTTAATTCAGATAAGTTCATGGCAGTCCCCCCACTGACACCGGGAGGAGGAGGTTTATACCTGACATGGAAACATGATATAGAGCTGTCTGTTACTACGTCATCAAAAATTTCATTGACACATACATCATACATAAGGGAAACAAATTTCATGCTACCTTTGTTTATGGAGAACCCGATCAGTCAAAGCGAAATGAAGTATGGAATGAATTATCAAGGCTCCAGACAATCCCAGGTGAACCTTGGTTCTTGACTGGGGATTTTAACGAGATAGTGGAAAATAGTGAGAAGTGTGGAGGTCCAGCTAGAGAAGAAGGGACCTTCGGCTCCTTCAGATCTTTTTTATCGAGTAATGGTTTGTTCGACCTCAAGCATTCTGGCAGTTTTCTCTCGTGGAGAGGCCAGAGACATTCCCACCTGGTCCGATGTCGGCTGGATAGAGCCCTCAGCAATAGTGAATGGACAGAACTCTATCCAGCTTGTAGAAGCCAATACCTCAAGTTTGAGGGCTCAGACCATAGGCCATTATTGTTGTTCCTGGACACTAAACAAAAAAGGGGGAATAAGCTATTCAGGTTTGGTAGAAGATTAAAAGAAGATCTGAAAGTCAAACAAATTATCAAGGATGCGTGGAATGAAAATCCAAACCTTCAGGTGGAACAAAGGCTCACTAAATGTAGAAAAGCTATATGTGCCTGGAGCAAAGCTCACCATGAGGATAGCAGTAAAGTCTTGGAGGTATTAAAGCAGCGTCTAGAGGAGGCTATGACGGCCCCTGTGGCAGATGAAGATCTCATCAAAGAAATTAACAGGAAGCTATTGATGATGTATAAAGCTGAAGAAAACTTCTGGAAACAAAGGAGTAGACAAATGTGGTTAACACTGGGGGATTCAAATACAGGATATTTCCATGCCGCTACGAGAGGACGAAGGGAAAAAACAGAATGGCGGTCCTAGAAAGCGAAGAAGGTGTACCTTTCTATGAGGAGGAACAGATTTCGGATGTAATCTGCAACTATTACTCTTCTCTCTTCACATCTTCGTATTTTGACAGCACTCAAACAGTTTCCAAGGCGTTAAAACCCTGTGTTTCTCGAGATCAAAACGAGAAGCTAAAAGCGATCCCACTGTATCAAGAAATCAAAGAGGCTACCTTTGCTATCCACCCAGATAAGGCCCCTGGCCCATATGGCTTCTCTGCATGCTTCTTCCAAGCCAACTGGGAGACGGTGGGACCAGCCGTAGTAGAGGAAATCCAAAACTTCTTTGTCTCAGGGCAACTCGCACAATCAATAAATAAAATGGTGGTTAGACTGATCCCAAAGACAACTACAGCAAAAAGAGTAGAAGAATACAGGCCAATAGCGCTATGCAACGTTTTCTATAAAATTATTTCAAAGATCCTGTCTCTACGCCTCAAGCCGGTCCTAGCATCTATCATTTCAGAAAATCAGTCAGCTTTCATCCCAGGAAGGGCCATAGCAGATAATGTCCTAATAACACACGAAGTTCTTCATTTTCTCAAGACCTCAAAAGCGGAAAAAGATGCACAATGGCTGTTAAAACAGACATTTTAAAGGCGTACGATCGGGTCGAATGGAACTTTGTGTCAACAGTTCTAAGAAGACTAGGTTTCAATGAGATATGGATAAACTGGATCATGCAATGCATCACTACGGTTTCTTATTCCTACCTAGTCAATGATTCAGTTTATGGAAATGTGACACCTTACCGTGGTATTAGACAGGGAGACCCCTTATCCCCGTACATCTTCATTCTCTGTGGAGAGGTCTTGACGGGACTCTGTGGGAGTCAAATAAATCGTAAAAAAGGAAACTTCGGGAAAACCCTAAGTTTCCAGAGGAACCGGCTATCTGCGAGAACCGCACAACGAAAATAAGATGACGAAAATACTTAGAATTTAAATGAGAATAAACGAAAACAGAGAGCAAAGAGGTTCTTATTCCGAATCTGCGTAGAACTGGTACAAAAAGAATTGCCGAAAGCGTNATACTTAGAATTTAAATGAGAATAAACGAAAACAGAGAGCAAAGAGGTTCTTATTCCGAATCTGCGTAGAACTGGTACAAAAAGAATTGCCGAAAGCGTAAGAACTAGAAAACCCTAATTGAGACGCAGCTCGCTAACAGAAAAACGGAAATATTCCTAAATGCTAGTTTTGGTGGTGGAAGCTCTGAATTTCGTGTCCTTTGCTTCTGCCCTAGACCTCCTCTTTATATACTCCTTGTCTTGGCAATCCGATCTTTCCATTTCGCCCAGATTTGACTTAAATCGGGAAATTTCCATTCTTCTCGATCCTTCCTTTTCTTCTGCGGAAATCTTCTATTTCTCTTCAAACCTTCCTTTTACGTTTAAACTTGACTTTTAT